CCCCCATCTCCTACCTACTAACCTCATCCCACCCCCTCGACCTGTCCGTCCTCCCTGGATTGACCTATCTCCTCCCTAACTCCCCACCTACACTCACGTTTACTGGCTCCATCCCCGCCTCTTTGTCAAGTCTGTCTCCTCTCCACCTATCTTCTCCTCTATCCATCTTCTATCCACCTCCCCCTCTCTCCCTATTTATTTCAGAACCCCCTTCCCCTCCCCCAATTCTGAAGAAGGGTCTAGGCCCGAAACGTCAGCCTTCCTGCTCCTCTGATGCTGCTTGGCCTGCTGTGTTCATCCAGCTCTACACCTTGTTATCTCAGATTCTCCAACATCTGCAGTTCCTACTATTTCTGAAATGATATTTTAAAACACGTTTTTACACAAGTGCTATAAATTACATTTGAACCAGTGCCACTTAAATTTGTCTCAGTCAGGAGCTACAAGAAAACTCTATGTTGGTGAGGTAGCATTAAGGCCACATCTTCTAATTGAGTAATTGTAACCAATAGACTTTATCACTAGAGCTACAGTTCTGCCACTATGTTAAGAGTGAATGTTTGAGCTCTTATGTTGTATTAGCAGAACATTCAACATAGAACCTAGAACTGTTCAGCACAGTAACGTGCCCTTTGGCCCACAATGTTGTGCCAAACGTGACACTAAATTAAACTAATCCCTTCTGCCTGCCCTTGGCCCACATACCTCATTCCTTGCATATTCATGTGCTTATCTAAAAGTTCCTTAAATACACCTATTGTATCTGCTTCCATCACCACCCCTGGCAGCATGTTCCAGACTCCTACCATTCTCTGTGTAAAAAACTTGCCCCTCGCTTCTCCTTTGAACTTTCCCCCTCTCACCTTAAATGCATGACCCGTAGTATTAGACATTTCAACTCTGGGGAAAAGATTCTGATCGTCAACCCTATCTATGCATCTCATAATTTTATAGACTTCTATCAAGTCTCCCTTCAGCCTCCGCCCCTCCAGAGAAAGCAACCTGAGTTTTTCTAGCCTCTCCTTATAGCTCATACCCTCTAATCCAGGCAGCTTCCTGGTAAACGTCTTTTGCACCCTCTCCAAAGCCTCCACATCCTTCCTGTAATGTGGCGACCAGAATTGAACACTCTAAGTGTGGCTTAACCAAAGTCTAATAGAACTGCAACATGACATCCTGACTCTTGTACTCAATTCCCCAACCAATAAAGGCAAGTACACCATACACCTTCTTTCCCGCCCCATCTACTTGTGTGACCACTTTCAGGGAGTTATGGACTGGAACCCCAAGATCCTTCAGTACATCAGTGCTGTTCAGAGTCCTGTATTCTTGTGAATTCCATCTGACCCTGGATTGAGCACTGACCCAGGATATTGTCTAGGTCCAGGCTGTGTTTGATGCCTAGGCCTCCAGTGGTCATATAAGGTACAGGATGGCCTCCTTTCAGTCACTGAATCCACCTGGTGGTCTTTATCTGGAAATCAGGGAGCCACCTTCCCTTTCTGGGACATTTCTGTTTCCTAAGAGGATGGTGAGTGAGGTAGTTCCTGACTTGCAGAATCTGAGTGGTATGCATCTGGGCTTTAAACTTGGTACTAGCAGCAGCCAGAATTTTGCCTCTCCTGATGCATTCTCAAATGAGATGAATGCCAAACAGATTGGTTGCATAATTAATGTAGTGAGGAATGGGAGGTAGTGTGAGAAATGTTGCTGTGAGCCATCACGGGATACCTGTCATGGAACTCCCCTAAAATAGCACAGCCAAAAAAAGGGAAAATTTTGCCTAGTCCTCCTCTATTTTTTGAACAAAGACTGATTCTGAATTGTATTCTGGTGGAATCCTGTCAAATTTTACAAAGCATGTGAGTTTACTCGAGAAAGGCCAGCCTCTGACGCTGCCCACTTTGAAATATTTTGGTGGACCTCCAGTGGGGTTGATGTCTCTGCAATGGACCTTCACTTTGGCAGTATGGGGAACTCAGTGACAGGTCTCTGGCATTTCTGTATACCCACATACAAGACGAGGCTGCCTGTGGGGAAAGCTGACCAAATACTAAAAAGAAATACATTTCCAGAATGATCAATCCAATTTTCTGTAAAGCCTTCAAGTTTTACAGTTCCCTCCTCCACATGTCACAGAAATGGACATACATTCCCAGTTATCAGCACTGGCACAGCACAGATCTTAGGAAGTATGTCATAGAGCATCTACCAATCCATTGGCTGCACTTCAAAGATTTACACAAATATTCAGACAACAATTTCTCCGTCTCCTATCAGTTCAGGAAGCAATTCCAGGAGATCTCACTGAATTTTCACTCGACAAATATTGGATAGATTTTTGATAGAGAAGGGAGAGCTATTGCTGAGATAGACAGGAAAGTGGGCTTGAGACCACAACCAGATCAGCATGATTGCATTGAATGGTGGAACAGACTCAAAGGGTCAGATAGCCTACTCCTGTATATGCTCTTGCTATTCTTTGGGGGATGCAATGGCCTAGTGGTATTATTGCTAGTGGTATTATTGCTAGTGGTATTATTGCTAGTGGTATTATTGCTAGACTATTAATCCAGAAACTCACTTAATGATCTGAGGACCAAGGTTTTAATCCAGCCACGGCAGATGGCGAAATTTGAATTCAACTTTAAAAACTCTGGAATTAAGAATCTACTGATGACAGTGAAACCACTGTTGATCGTTGGAAAAATCCATCTCATTCATTAATGTCCCTTAGGGAAGGAAACTGTCATCCTTACCTGGTCTGGCCGATGTGTGACTACAGAACAGTCATGTGGTTGACTCTCAACTGCCCTCTGAAATGGTCTAGTAAGCCATGCAGTTCAAGGGCAGCTAGGGACAGGCAATAAATGCTGGTCAGCCAGTAACACCCCAATCTCATGAATGAGTTTAAAAAAAAATGTCCTATGGTTGTGAGGAGCAAGCAGAGTAGCTTCTGAGAAAATTCTTTCTGTGGTCCATTGAAATTATCCCAAAAATGGAAATCCTGGTCATTGAATGTGAGAGAATCCCACTGCGTAATCTGATTCTGATAGTCCAGCATTGCCTTTATATCTTTTGGCAGCCAGGTGAAGAAGATAATCATTTCTGTGTCAAAGGAGAACGTGGCTATCCAGGTGCTACAGGACCCAAAGGACAACCAGGATTACCAGGTTATGATAAATTTCCTCTATATCAAGAACTCATAGTTCTGGTTTATCAACTGCACACAATATAGAGGTCAATCAGTCCTTTAGTCTAAGGAAAGATACACTGGCATACAGGAATTGGCAGCAATCCAGAGAAGGTTCATTATGCTAATACCAGATATGGAGGGGCTGGCTTAATAGAACAGGTTGAGTATATTGTGCCTGTACTCCATGGAATTTAGAAGAATGATCAGTGACCTTATTGAAACATACAAGATTTTTATAGATCTTGACAGGGTACATGCAGAAAGATGTTTCTTCTTGTGTGAGTCTTGGACATAATCTCAGAATAAGGGTCAATACAGTGTGGATCTGGAGGAACACAGCTGGTCAGGCAGCATCAGAGGAACCGGAAAGTTGACGTTTCGGGTTTACACCCTTCATCACCCTCAATTCCACTTTCCTGCCCGCTCTCCATGATCCTTCAACCCATTGCTCATTAAAAATCTGTCTCTGTCCTCCTTAAATTTACTCAATGTCCCAGCATCCACCGTACTTTGAGATAGTGACTCCCACAGATTCATGGCTCTTTGAGAGAAGTAATTTCTCCTTATCTCTGTTTTAAATCGGCTATCCTTATCCTAAAGCCATGACTCTCGCTTTGCTTACAATGGTCTATACACGACTGGTCATCCTGTCTGATCACTGTTTTCCAGGGCCTATGTCTAGCCATTTCATTTTCCTGCTTTATATATCTGACCAGACTAACACTTCTGACCCCTGCTATTCTTTATTGAGTTTCCCTGATTAAGTATCACCAAATTAAGTCTTTGTGTTCCTAACAGTTCTCTTCATCTCCCTACATTCTGGATTGGACATCCAGGCTACTTGCTCCAAAGACAGCAAACACTTTATATTCCAACCAGTCTCTAGGAATGGAAGTTTCTGCTCCCTGATGTGGTGAGGGCACCACTGAGAAAAGTGCAAAAATTCAGAGAGAATTAAAAATCAGAATCTCGACATCAAAAAATGTTTGTGATTTTTTCGACAAGCCTTAAATGGCACTTCAGAATCTTGCAATTGACCAGTGACTACCTTATTTCCATGCATTTGCATTCCAAGAAAGCCTGACTTGCCTTATTTATCTGCCACTTCTCGAAGAAACTAGACAATGTGAAGTCCCGACCTGCAAGTCAGAGAGGGTGCTGACTGCAGCTTGCTGAATTCTTGTCCAATCCACCATTCTACTGCTTTTTCATAACAACGACCTAGTCTGCTTCGTAGCCACCATACTCCTTGACTCTTTGTCCATGTCTGTCATCAGCCACACCACATCATCCTATCTGCTCTCAGACTAGCTCACACAACACCTCAATATTTTATTTGAGAGTTCAGAGACATCTATGACTTGCATTGTTACTGGCAAATTGCTTTGTATGCATGGGCACATGCGCATCTCATGAATCTGTACAGGATGCATTTTAATTTGCTTTGTTAGCATTCACTCACTTTGCACTTACTTGGCGACTTTCAGTCTGTTTACTTCACATTGCGTGTCAGCAGTTTTTGCGGCAAAGACACTGCACATGCTTCAAGCAAAAGGCCATGTGCGAAAGTCAAAGCAAAGCAGTCCATAGTAAGGTGATGGTGGTACTGACATAGTCAGTCACAACACATGTCTTATTCCTGTGCTATTCCAGTCCACAGGGTTGACCATGGTCAATCGGACCCTTGGTCCTACCAGAGTCTGACATCCATGTCCTTGCAGTCTGGGAACTGGATCACAGTCATTTCACAGGTCATTGCAATCAGTCCAGGAATTATATGTAGGTCAGTCAGGTTGCTGTGGCAACATCAGTCTGGAAGATGAGCCAACTCTACCTGCAATGTTACAAAGGGAGGGATCAGAAGTAAAGTGCTGTGAATGCTGGAAATCAGTAAACAAAATCCAGCAGAACTTGAAACATTAACTCCATTTCTCTCTCCATGAATGCTGCCAGACCTGCTGAGTTTCTCCAGCAATTTCTGTTTTTATTAAAGGGATGAATCAAGCAGATGAAAGTAGACAGTGGTGATACAGGAACTGGAGAATTGGCAGGAAGTACCTAGTGAGTGAGTAAAAAGTGCAGAGGATAGGAAGCATTAGTAGCTTGGGATGATGACGTGGAACAATGGTCGCACTTACCTCTTTGGAATGCAGAAAATTATTGAACTTCTTCATGCACTACTGGATGTCCCACATCATTGAGGACACAGCACCAACCTGGGCTGCAGTTTGGGTCCAGGCAGGTTTGGTTTGGTGGCCTGGCACCTTGTGGTGGTCTGCAGGAAATAGGACTGCTGTAAACTCTGCTACCTAGTCCACAAAAACTCCAGGTCCTTGTCTGTGAATCAGGGAGTGAGCTTTCCTTTCCTCTGAACAATGTCCTCAATGATAAAGGTCAAGTGTCCCACAAGTGTGAGGGCTACTTCCTGGCTTGCAGGTGTGGAGTGGTATGCAACTGGGCTTTAAAATGATGCCAGCGGTATGAACATCAGAGGGTCTTGGCAGAAGTGAGCTGACATGGTCAATAAAATATTTTCTGATTCAAATACATTGCCAATTGTCTTATATTCATGAAACAAAAACCATGTTATATTTTAGCAATTCAAGGCTGTCTTCATGTTTTATGATTTGTTTGTTATAAATTGAAACGATTAATTTATTTCTAACTTTACAGGTGCTGACGGCCAGCCAGGTTTACCAGGAGAACCAGGTAAGACCCTGTGTTCATTCCATTGATGAATACTCATTCTCAGAGATGCAAAACCAATCTCTTAAATTTTTGTTAGCAATGATTACAATGGATCTGAACCATAATACCCTGTCAGGGAAGAAATACAAATGAAAAAAGACATACCATTTCCTTAACATAGCATCTTCAGCTACTAAGATGCTTTACTTATCATTTTTCTTGAATGAATAATATATACATTGTTTGCAGCCTTTGCTTTTTTTGGCATAATTGCATCCCATGCTTTCAAAAGATGATGATTTTAGCAAACAACACTATGCCAGGTTAATTAGATCAAAAATATATTACTGATGCAGATTCCTGAGGATGACATTAGTTCCCAAATCTTTCACTACTTTCATCAGGAATTTCCAGTCGTGGGCCCAAAGGCCAATCCGGATATCCTGGACAAAGAGGTCCTAAAGGAGATAAAGGTGATCCTGGACAGATTTTCGAAGGTCCTCCTGGTCCTCCTGGATTTCCAGGCCCTCCAGGCTCACCAGGTCCGGTGGGACTACAAGGTACAATATTCATCTCCAGTTTTATTTTATATTGCACAAGTTGATCGTTGTATTTAATAGTGTATTGTTTACTGCAATAATTTTTCATTATGAAGGCAAAAATGTATTTCTGCACTGGAAGGCTGTTTTCATGTGATGAACGTCTGCAATGTGTTGCACCTTGAATTGATCATGCTTCAAGTTGCTCCATTTTAGAGCTCAGTGCAGTAAACGTGAGAAATGTTGGTATCAGTCAGCCTTCCTCAATGGGAATGTGTTTTCATATTTTCACATTCATGTGCCTTACTTGGTATTTTGCTCATCATAGAATCATATAGTGTAGAAGAGGCCCTTCGGCCCATCAAGTCTGCCCTGCCAAAAAATAAACCACAACCTCTACTAGTCCCACTTTTCCACACTAGGCCTTGAATGGTAGACATGGGGGAAGGGTGGTTGCAAATGTGGGAGATAGTGTGGGTGATGGTTATTTCAGTTGGCTTGATGCCTGGCATCTGGTTCAGAAGTACACCAACAGCATGGGTTCAATTCCTTTTCCAGCTAAGTCAGACTTGCATTTTTGCCCATGCTTGATGTGGAGTAGTGCTCCTCAATTGTCTATCTTTAATAGAAATGCTTCCAGCCCCCTATGGACTGTGGTTAGTTATCTGTCTACTAGACATGGGGTACAACCCTACAATCCTCCCGGTATACTCCCACTGTAACTCTGGCAACAGCATAGTACAAAGGTCACAATTAGGCTGAGGTATGAGGAGGTCAGCCATGATACTATTAAAGGTGAACAGGCTCAAAGAGCTAATGGCCTACTTCTGAAGAACAGGAGAGAAGAATAAATATGAAATTATCTGAAACAAAACTCCTGTTGATGCAAGTAAACATTCTGAATGAAATTTTTCAGGTGAGACTATCAGTATAAATGGCCAACCAGGACCTAGAGGGCCACCTGGACAAAGGGGTTTTGTTGGTTTTCGTGGTCCAACTGGATACAAAGGTAAGCAAGTAATACTTGCTAAATTGATTTAGAGTTAATGTTGTACATGGAAAAGAAAACCATGGAGAAAAACTGAGCATACTAGGCACAGGAGCTACAAATGCCAAAATCTTTGACTGAAACAAAGTCAATTATAATGAACAGCTTTGTTGTATCTCTGTGTACACCTCTCCTTTGCCCACTTTTAGCCCACATTCTAGAAGCAGTCAATAGCTTTCTCTAGTTAATTCAGCATCAGAATCAATTGATTCCAGCAGCTAGGTTCCAAAATCCTGCATGTGGTGCTGCATCTTTTGCAGTGATTTACACCAAAATGAACGCTTATGATAACTTAACCACACAGGATTTCCATATTCCCTGTTCCACACCATCCTACAAAGCTTGTTTTAGATGTTGAATGTGTGTGGAACCTAAACATCAGCTTAGACCAATTGGGCAAATTAGCCTGTTTCTGTATTGCTGATATAATGTAACTGTTTCCTTGATGTCTCATGTCCTTTCTTATTATTCACGTACAACATGTGGGCTTCACAGGCAAAAATTAGCATTTACAAGGGGAGATGTCAAAAGAGTTATCACACTGTCAATGCATTTAAATATCCTGATCCTTAAATGTTCGAGAAAAAAACTGCAGTGGGGGAAATATAGTGCTTGTGATTTCACTGTCTATTAACATAAACCTAAGGGCTAACATTAAAGTATTTTGAACAAAAACAAAAATTACTGGAAAAGCTCAGCAGGTCTGGCAGCACCTGTGGAGAGAGATCAGAATTAATATTTCGGGTGAAATGATCCTTCCTCAGAACCGTATTTTGGTTTTTATAGTATTTTGAGCTGCACACTGGTTTCACAATTAATCATTATCACAGTGGCATGTCTGTCAGTTCTCAGTTGATAGTTCCAATTGCTTATAAACTCTTTAGTTTTTTTTTATAGGAATTAAGTAGTTAGAGGAACATAATGGTAGTGAATGGGCTTTTATCAATGAAGTTGTTCTTGTAACATAGTGGATTTAACAACAGGAACTTGGAACTTTATCTTATTTCGTCTCAGAATGGGTTCTGAGGTCTGCCATTGTAGATGCTGGGTGAGTTCGCATGGAGGGTAATGGCTTGAGTTGGCATGAATTGTCACTAAGTTGACATGGTGACTGTAAAGGGTTGTGGGGGTAGGTACAGGGACGTAGGTTGCATGGAGTGTATGAGGAACCATGGAGGCAGCTGAGAATATTCAAAGATGGGGTATGGGGAGTGAGGAGATAGGCCAGGGAGAATGGCGGGGGGGAGAGCTGCTTTTTATTTTATTGATTTTTTTGCAGCCAGGACATAGAGCCAGCAAGTCTTTCAAAAAGCGCATCTCAAAACCAGCAATCTCTGACCTCTTTCTCCCCACACTTCTCCCTGGTCAGATGAAAATCAAACATCCTGGGCATTTTCCTGTATCGGGTTCACAGAGCCAGGAAAATTCAGGCCCGTGCTTTCTCTTCGTTCAATTTTGTGTATTTATTCATTGGGATGGAGGGGCGGGTATTATTAATTAGTTCATTCTTAGCTTTTTCTTAAGAAAAAAACAGTTTATGTTTCTTTTGAACTTTAAGTATTTCCCACTGCTGTTCAGAATCTGCATCAAAAAACTGACAGAGAAAGGGTGTGAGTTTTGCGGATTCTCTGAAGCTACACACCTCCTCCAGCTCTTTGAAAGTCTGAAACTCTAAAGCAAGTAGAATTGCCCAGGGCATCCAGCATCAAAGCATCTGTAAGTGACGGAAAGTTTGGCCCAAAATGTTCACTGTTATACCTGATTTTCTGATATTGTCACTAGTGCTGGCACAGTGGGGAAGGAGTTTAATCCTGCACCAGCGCTGACCTAGAAATGTTTTGTGCAGAGTTCCTTAACTGAAATCATTCATTCTCATTGATATGAAAATGTACTGAAATTTGCAAAATTTAAAGCACTTGAAAATTTAAATTTAAACTTGCCTTAAGAAATTGGAGCATGTGATTAACAAAATGTATATCAGAATCTTGTTGGATACAATACTTATCCAGAAGATCCATGTCCTGATCCTTTCATGGGATGAGAGTGTCACTGGCTTGGCCAGCATTTATTACCCATCCCTAATTGCCCAGAGGGCAACTGAGAGTCAACCACATTGCTGTGGGTCTGGAGTCACATATAGGCCAGACCAGGTAAAGGTGGCAGTTTCCTTCCCTAAAGGAAGTGAACCAGGTGGGTTTTTCCAAGAATTAACAATGGATTCATGGTCATCATTAGATTCTTAATTCCAAATATTTATTGAATTCACATTCCACCATCTGCTGTGGCAGGATTTGAACCCAGGTCCTCAGAACATTACCTGGGTCTCTGGATTAACAGTCCAGCAATAATACCACCATGACATCACCTCCCCATAGTGAAAGCAGCGACTGTTTATCAATCCTCTGTGATGAAGGGTTCTATTTTTGGCCTAAATATTGGTCTAGTTTCAACTGTAAGTAAGTGAGTGGGACTTTTAGTATGTTAAAATCAAGCCATTTCTGTTGTTACAGGTGATAGAGGTGACCTGTGTGTAACATGCCGTGGAACTTCACAACCTGGTCCTCCTGGTCCACCCGGCCTTCCTGGGATACCCGGTAAATTACTGTTGATAAGGCTATGATACCTAGGGCCAGTGTAGTGTTTAATATATACATCATACCTATACCTACATAAGAGATTATTTTGTATATTGTGTAACACAACATATTGCGCAATAAAAATTGAGGCTGTGAACTACATTTCTTATTTCTTTCTGATCCCTCCTATCAGCTGATTCCATTATATTCTTAATATCATAGTGAACAAACATGATATTTTTATATACATTGTACAGAGCAGCACAGAAACGTATTTTAGCTGGTAGTTAAAACAGGGAGTCCAAAATTAACTCATGCTCATCTCCAAATAGCCACTGAAATATTTCCATATTTCACAATTCCCTGATTAAATTTGTTGGTGAATTATTTTGAATCCTTTCCTGAAGGTTATTGTGTGAAGCCCTAACCATCTCGAAAAGACCGTAAGACCACAAGAAATAGGAAGAGGAGTAGGCCATTTGGCCCCTTGAGCCTGGTCTACCATTCAATAGGATCATGGCTGATCCAGCATTCCTTAAGTCCACCTTCCTGCCTTTTCCCCATAACCCTTGATTCCACAACTCATCAAAAATCTACCTCAGCTTTAAATATACATAAGGAATCTGACAGCCATCGATGGTAAGGTGTTCCAAAGATTCAGAAGCTTTGATATTTTGCCAGAGTTGTGACTCAGTTAACTGAATACATCATGGGGACTGATGGTGGTAGAATGGTAATCTATAGGTTAGCAGCTCACACCTTGTATACTGTCGGGTTTTCTGTTTGCTTCCCAGCATCAGGAATCCACCCAGCATCCCTCATTGGGTAGCAAGGTCATGCCCTGGATTGAATTGCCTGAAGATTTGAAATCTTCCATGTTTAAAGCACACCCTGAGAGTTCAGGACCCAGACTTAGCCCCCTTTCATGATTGTCAATCCAGCCCCTCATGTAGCTTCTGAATTCTACAATTTCACATTTCACTAGGTCTCTGCCCCTCTTGCCATAGGTTTCAGGGGCAGCTGCCCCACACTTTGGTGTGTTGCCTTGCAGCCGTTTAATGTGCGACTGGGTGTTAATTGTCTCAGGGTGAGATCATCAGCTCAGTCTAGGAAGAAGTTCTGCCTCCAAGACCTGCCAGCCCATCAAATAGCTGGCAGCTATCTGATGTCAGCACTGCCAGTGGGAGTTAACAGCAACTATCGGGAATGTACCCAGTCCCCTGCAGTGATCAGTTCTGAAGCTGAATAAGAAGGCAAGTATGGGCCTTTCGGTGTGACACACTAGCAAGCCCTAGTTGGCGTCTGCGGTGAACAGAGTGGTGGAAATTGGGAAAACCTGGGGATCAGAGTTCCATGGATGGGGAGTTTCTATTGACACTCCAGGCCTGTAAAGATTGCACCGTCCCCTCAGTAGCTGTTGTTGGCCCTCCATTTTAGTGTTGGCCTCCATCTGATGTAGAACAAAAATGGCAGTGGAGTTGAAAAGAGGTCTATGATGTTAGTTACAGAGAGTAAAGCTGCCCACGTGCATGGCCATCTAACACACTCCCCTGGGGGCTTAACATTCCAGAAATTCCACTAAATCTCAAAAAGTGTGGCAGATAGGTTAGCAAGGTTAGATAACATGGGATCTAGGGAGAGCTAGCCAATTGGATACAAAACTGGCTTAATGGTGGGAGTCAGAGCGGGGTGGCAGATGGTTGTTGTTCAGACCGGAGGCCTGTGACCAGTAGTGTGCTGCAAGAAACAATGCTCGGTCCACTGTTGATTGTCATTTGTACAAACGATTTGGAAGAGAATGTAGAAGACATGGTTAGTAGGTTTGCAGATGACACCAAAATGGGTAGTACAGTGAACAGTGATGAAGGCTATGTAAGAGTACAACAGGTTCTTGACCAACTGGGCCAGTGGGCTTAGGAATGGCAAGTGGAGTTTAATTCAGACAAATGTGAGGTGTTACATTTTGGTAAGACAAACCAGGGCAGGACTTACACAGTTAATGATAGGGTCCTGGGGAGTATTGTCAAACAGAGAGACCTAGAGATGCAAGTGCATAGTTCCTTGAAAGTGGCATCACAAATAGACAGGATAATGATGAAGGCATTTGGCATGCTTGCCTTCATCAGTCAGAGAATTGAGTACAGGAGTTGGGATGTCATGTTGTGGTTGTACAAGGCATTGGTAAGGCCACAGTTGGAGTACTGCATACGATTCTGGTCATCCTGTTACAGGAAGGATGTTATAGAACATAGAACAGTACAGCACAGTACAGGCTCTTTGGCCCACGATGTTGTGTCGACCTATTATTCTACTAAGATCAAACTACCCTGCATATCCTACATTATACTACCATCCATATGCCTTTCCAAGAGTCAAGTAAAAGTCTCTGAAGTATGCCGGCAGCGCATTCCACATGCTCACCGCTCTCTGTGTAAAGAACCTACCTCTGACATCTCCCCTATACTTTCCTCCAATCACCTTAAAATTATGCCTCTTCGTAAGTCATTTCCGCCCTGGGAAAAAGTCTCTGACTCTCCATTCTATCTATGCCTCTTATCATCTTGTAAACCTCTATCAAGACACCTCTCATCCTTCTTCGCTCCAATGAAAAAAGTCCTAGCTCCCTCAACCTTTCCTGATAAGACCTGCCCTCCAGTCCAGGCAGCATCCTGGTAAATCTCCTCTGCACCCTCTCTAAAGCTTCCACATCTTTCCTATAATGAGGTGACCAGAACTGAACACAATATTCCAAGTGTGGTCTAACCAGAGTTTTACAGAGCTGCAGCATAACCTCACAGCTCTTAAAGTCAATCCCCCTCAATCCAATGGACCTATGGACGTGGACGCCAAGATCCCTCTGTTCCTCCACACTGCCGAGAATCCTGCCATTAACCCCGCATTCAAATTTGACCGTCCAAAATGAATCACTTCACACTTTTCTGGTTGCCCAGCTCTGTATCCTGTCAATGTCCTGCTGCAACCTACAACAGCCCTCCATGTGTCCACAACTCCACCAACCTTCATGTCATCAGCAAACTTACTAAACCACCCTTCCACTTCCTCATCCAAGTCATTTATAAAGATCACAAAGAGCAGAGGTCCCAGAACAGATCCCTGCGGAACACCACTGGTCACCGAGCTCCAGGCTGAATACTTTCCGTCTACTACCACCCTCTGTCTTTAATTGGACAGCCAGTTTTATATTCAGACAACCAAATTTCCCTGAATCCCATGCCTCCTAACTTTCTGAATGAGCCTACCATGGGGAACGTTATCAAATGCCTTGCTAAAATCCTTATACACCACATCCACTGCTCTACCTTCATCAATGTGTTTTGGCACATCCTCAAAGAATTCAATAAGGCTTATGAGGCATGACCTGCCGGTCACAAAGCCATGCTGACTATTTCTAATCAAGCTGTGCTTTTCCAAATAATCATAAATACTATCTCTCAGAATCCTCTCCAATAATTTGCCCACCACAGAAGTAAGACTGACCAGTCTGTAATTCCCAGGATTATGCCTATTCCCTTTCTTGAACAAGGGAATGACATTTGCCACCCTCCAGTCATCTGGTACTACTCCAGTGGACAGTGAAGACACAAAGATCATTGCCAAAGGCACAGCAATCTCTTCCCTCGCTTCCCGTAGCAACCTTGGGTATATCCCGTCTGGCCCAGGGGACTTATCTATCTTCATGTTTTTCACTGGAAACAGGAAAGGACAGAAAAAAGATTGACAAGGATGTTACCGAGACTGGAGGGCTTGAGTTATAAGGAGAGACTGGATGGGCTGGGACTTTTTTCCCTGGAACATAGGAGGCTGAGGAATGACCTTATGGAGGTTTATAAAATCATGAGGGACAAAAAGCCAACGTCTTTTCCCCAGGATAGGGATGTCCAAAACTAGAGGGCATAGATTTAAGGTGAGAGGGGACACGTTTAAAGGGGACCTGCGGTGGCAATGTTTTCACATAGAGGGTGGTGCATATATGGAATGCGCTGCCAGAGGAAGAGGTAGAAGTGAGTACGATTACAACATACAAGACATTTGAATAGGTACATGAATAGGAAAGATTTAGAGGGATATGGGCCAAATGCAGACAATTGGGACTAGCTCAGTTTAGGAAACCTGGTTGGCATGGATGAGTTAGGCTGAATGGTCTGTTTCCATGAAATATGACTCTGTAACCCCAGAATACAAAAGGGAAAGAAACTATCTCCTTTCTAATTGTAATTTGGAAAGTTTTGAGGAAAACATTATGCTTATAGTCAATTGTTCTCTTGACAATTAGAAATATTAAATATTCTAATTATTGAAATTTATAATTGTGACAATAAGGATAGAGCAGAAAGCAAGACAAAGGCAGAGTGATGGTGTCTCTTTCCGAATTATAATGTGAATTCCTTTGAAAAAAATATAGTAATAATCTTTGAAAGCTGCAAGGTGGATCTGAGGCAAACACAATGAAGACACCAGTATGTGGTAAGCAGACTGAGCTTGAGGAAACGAGACAACAAGGTGCAGGGCTGGATGAACACAGCAGGCCAAGCAGCATCATAGGAGCAGAGAGGCTCAAAAGTTTCAAAATCTCCCCTCCCCCCACCGCATCCCAAAATCAGCCCAGCTCGTCCCTGCCTCCCTAACCTGTTCTTCCTCCCACCTATCCCCTCCTCCCACCTCAAGCCGCACCTCCATCTCCTACCGACCAACCTCATCCCGCCCCCTTGACCTGTCCGTCCTCCCTGGACTGACCTATCCCCTTCCTAACTCCCTACCTACACTCACCTTTACTGGCTCCATCCCCGCCTCTTCGACCTGTTTGTTTCCTCTCCACCTATCCTCTCCTCTATCCCTCTTCTATCCGCCTCCCACTCTCTCCCTATTTATTTCAAAACCCCCTTCCCCTCCCCCTTTTCTGATGAAGGGTCTAGGCCCGAAACGTCAGCCTCTCTGCTCCTATGATGCTGCTTGGCCTGCTGTGTTCATCCAGCCCTGCACCTTGTTGTCTCGGATTCTCCAGCATCTGCAGTTCCTACTACCTCTGAGCTTGAGGAAACCTTTGGTTTGTCTCTTTCTGCCCTTGGGGCAAGAAGGAGCGAGAGAATGTAATTGATTGGAACAGAGCAAGGGGAATGGGAGAATTCAGAGGTACAGAGTAAAAAACAAAGCGAAAGAAATAGCAATGAGAGTAAGGAAGGGGGAAGAAGAGAATGAGTTGTAGTGACATAATTGGTGCAAAAGCGATGGGGAAAGCAATAATTGATAAGATGTAGTCAATGAAAGGTGTAAGCTACATTTTCCAAGTGAATCCCACAGAAAAATATAGTCTGAACCATTCATCAACTCCTTTTCCCATCATTTGCTACATAAAATAAAAAATGGAGAAAAATATCTATTACTTCTTTTACACATATGTAAATCTTATCAATGCCAAGATAGATCAATATTTAATCAGTAAGGGAATCCAGTGTTACGAAGAAAAGGCAGGAAAGTGGAGTTGAGGATTATCAGACCAACTATGATTTTATTGAATGGCAGAGCATTCGTGATGGCTTAATGGCCTACTTCTGCTCCTACATCCTCTGGTCTTACTAACATTAAGCTACAGATCAAAAATGTTCCAGATTAACCCTTCTTTATATTATGATCCCAGTTGAAAGTAATATTGGACAAGTCTTGATCCAGAACAAAACCTGGTTTGATAGTTCAGAAGTTTTATTTTTGCAATTCGGTTACTGTGTGATCAGTCACCGCCATATTCATATGAGGCTGTCAATGCATTTACAGAATCATAGTCATAGAGTCATACAGCACGGAAACAGACCCTTCAGTCTCACCAGTCCTTGCTGAACATAATCCCAAACTAAACTAGTCCCACCTGCCTGCTCCTGGCCCATATCCCTCCAAACCTTTCCCATTCATGTACTTATCAAAGTGTCTTTTAAATGTTGTAATTAGGGTCATAGAGGTTTACAGCATGGAAACAGGCCTTTCAGCCCAACTGGCCATGCCACCCAATATGAAATCAATGCAATTTCCACCATTTGACATGGTGGTATTGGAACTCTCATCCACCAACTCATTAGCCTGGATCACCAGATTACTGGTTGAGTAATATTGCCACTGCACCACCAACACCCAGTCCTCAGCTGAGCTCCCAGGAGCAAAGCTCATCTGTGACCTCGCCATCACTGGAACGCAAACTACCCTCCCCACCCCCAATGGTCCTATCCCAGATGCAGCCCATTCATACCTGTGCTGACTTGGCTCGTGTACCATTTATCCCGAATATATAGTTGTACCCACATCCACCACCTCCTCAGGAAGTTCATTCCAAACGCAAACTACCCTCTGTGTAAAAAAAATTGCCCGTCAATCTCTCTCCTCTCACTTTAAAAATGGCCCCATCCTTGTGAAAAGACAACTACCATTAACTCTATAAACTTCTATCAGGTTGCCTCTCAACCTCCTGCGCTCAAGTGAAAAAACTCTCAGTCTATGCAGCCTTTCTTCATAACTCAAACCTTCCATACTTGGCAACATCCAAAAGCTGAACCCTTTCCAGCTTAATAATATCCTTCCATAACTGGGCAACCAGAACTGGACACAGAATTCCAGAAAAGGCCTCAACAACATCCTGTACAACCTCAATATAATGTCCCAACTCCTATACCCCCACACACTTGGAACAAAAGAACATAGGTTATCACACAAATAAGTTGTTATATATGACTATGCTGAAGGATCTTATCATAAACAGGCAAAAGGAAGATTCGACACTTTTTCTCAGCAATATCTTTTACAAGTATCAGTCCAATCTTCACTTAGAAGAATCTTACTCAACTAACAAGGTCACAAGTGTTTCCTTCTAGCAATTTACTGCATGTTTATGAGATGTGATTCTCCCCATCTCTCCTAGAGATGCAAAGATGGTCTTAACTCACTGATTTTTCATCATTGAACTGCAAGAAAAGCTCATTGTTTTTTTCTAGCCCCATTGACTTACACTGCTGAAACAGCTTAAGACTTCTTTCCAACTCTGATAGCCTGGAGACTAACTAAACTAAACTGCCCTTCTACTGGTGCTTGCGGCTGCAGGCCTCTCTTTCTGTAGGTTGTTAAAAACTCAACTTAGTAAACACTTCAGCGATTATCACACCAAGTAGCCTAGCGAGTCATTTAGCTTAAGCTGTCTCAGAAATGTGCTTTGAACTCTTAAGAATAACTTATTGACCTTTTCTTTGAAAAGTCACCTACACAGAACTAAAATCAAACACCTATTTACCTCTACTTTAGATTCGAAGTTTCCAAATAATAATAAAATATTACAAAGCTGTGCTTTGTTTCCATTATAGGTACATCAGCATTACCAGGCACAAAAGGAATTCCTGGTCCCTCAGGTCAATGCGGAGAAACAGGTTCCCTGGTAAGGCGGTTTTTCATTTATCCTATACCATCATCCTCCCCTTCCCGCACCAATGGCTGTCCTTGTTCAATACCCGCAAATGATTGTAAGGGTGACTGCTTAAGAGAGACTGCAGGGTGATGAGTTTCTCTCAGCTTTCTTATACTGTTCTTTAGTCTGCTATGGTTTCTTTTTACATAGGTGTTACCAACTCCTTACTTTGTTATCAAATCCTTTGTCGAACCAACCTCTCTTCTCTCTCTTTTCAGGCTTTATCCTATCAGTTACTCCCTACCCGATCCCTCTCCCTATTTTCTGCATATAAGCCAATGTTTTCCCAGCTACCATCAGTTCTGAGGAAGGGTCACTTGAACCAAAATGTTAACTGATTATTTTTTTCACAGATGCTGACAGACCTACTGAGCTTTTCCAGCAACTTCTGTTTTTGTTCCTGATTTACAGCATCAGCAGTTCTTTAAGTCTTTATATACCACAGAAAGTAAGCTGTACAAAATGATCAGAGGTATAGGTAGAGTGGACAGCCAGAGACTTCTTCCTAGGGTGGAGGTAGCTATTACGAGGGGGCACAGTTTGAAAGTGAATGGAGGTAGATATAGGGGAGATGTCAGAGGTAGGTTCTTTACTCAGAGAGTGGTAGGGGCATGGAATGCATTGCTGGAGAGGGTAGTGGAGTCGGCCTCATTAGGGGCATTTAAGCAGCTATTAGATAGGCATATGGATGATAGTATAAGGTAGGGGTGGAGGTTAGATAGACCTTAGGTTTAGGGTAAAAGTTCGGCACAACATCATAGGCCGAAGGGCTTGTACTGTGCTGTACTGTTCTATGTTCTATGTTTATTGGGACAAATACCTAGGAGTTTATTAACAATTGATTATTTACAATTTTCTGACATCTCAGACATAAATCGGCAGTCTGGGTTATCTGCTTACCTGGATTACTATTATATTATGTACATAGTTGATTGGCTGACCAGCAGACTAATTACCAGACTGATATAAAAGAAAAGTACTGTGGATAGTGGAAATCTGAAACAAACAGAGAGGATGCTGGAGAAACTCTGGCAGCATCTGTGGAGAGAAAACCAGAGTTTTGGAGTCAAGCATAACTCTTCATCAGAGTTGATTATCTCTCTAACTGACACTCTGCTTGCTCATTGATAACTAACTGCACAGAGAGTAAGATGGAGATCTCCTATACCAAAATGTCACACAAGGTGATGTCATCTCACTGCATTTCACGGTTGTTCATTTGCTTTCTTAGTGCTCATTTGCTAAGCACCTACCTGCCTTGCTTTGCCGTGCCATACCAATTACAAAACCAACTGCTGCTAGACAGTGAAAACTGAAAGAACTGCAGATGCTGTAAATCAGGAACAAAAACAGAAGTTGCTGGAAAAGCTCAGCAGGTCTGTCAGCATCTGTGAAGAAAAGTCAGAGTTAATGTTTTGGGTCCAGTGACCTTTCCTCAGAACTAAATTTCCACAATAGGTACGCTCGGGTGACTGTCTGCATGGAGTTTGCACATTCTCCCTGTGTCTGCGTGGGTTTCCTCCGGTGCTCCGCTTTTGTCCCACAGTCCAAAGATGTGCAGGCGAGATGGATTGGCCATGCTAAATTGCTCATAGTGTCCAGGGATGAGCAGGTTGGTTGGATTTAGCGATGGAAAGGGATAGGTATATACCGCAGGGCAAGAGTTATAGCTGGGGGAAAGGCAATTATGAGGCGATTAGGCAAGATTTAGGATGTATAGGATGGAGAATGAAACTGCAGGGGCTGGGCACAATTGAAATGTGGAGCTTGTTCAAGG